CTGGGTCCTCCACCGACACCTGCCCCTCACTTGCCCAGGAGCAGAGCCCGGGCAGCCAGGTCTCACTGGCCACGATGCCGGAGGCGCCTGAGGTGCTGGAGGAGACCGTGACAGTGGAGGAAGACCCTGGCACACCCACCTCCCACGTGTCCATTGTCACATCAGAAGATGGTACTACGCGGCGCACAGAGACCAAGGTATGGCCGGGCCCTGGTGGTGGGCAAGTGGCGTATGCAGCCGCAGTTGTCCCATTTGTAGAGTGGGCGCACGTCCCAGTCTCCCTGGTGCCATTCGTTGTGGTGGAAGACTGAGGCCACTCTGTCCCTGCCAGACAGTGTCCGGCTTCTCAGGCTGCCCGACCCATCGGCTACCCACTTACTCACCAGGTCACCAAGACAGTCAAGACGGTGACTACACGAACAGTGCGCCAGGTGCCCATGGGCCCAGATGGCCTCCCTCTCCTGGACAGTGGCCCTCCGCTAGGGCCCTTCGCTGATGGCCCCCTGGACCGGCACTTCCTGCTGCGTGGGGGTGGCCCGGTGGCCACACTTTCCCGCACCTACCTCAGCAGCGGGGGCGGCTTTCCTGACAGCCCCGAACCCCGTGACATCCCCAGCTATGGCAGCCTGTCCCGTGGGTTGGGTGTGCGACCCCCGCGTGGTGGCCCCCTTGGCCCAGGCCCTGGCGATGGCTGCTTCACATTGCCTGGCCGCCGTGAGGCCTTCTCCGAGGGCCCTGAGCCTGTGCCACCTGCCAGCTGCTCCCAGCCTGAGCGCTTCCAGGCAGAGCCCTACGGCCTGGAGGACGACACACGCAGCCTTGCTGCCGATGACGGGGGTGGCCCGGAGCTGGAGCCTGACTATAGCACAGCCATGAGGAGGAGGCCTGACTGTGGGCGGGGCCTTCGCACTAGGTGAGCACCCTGTGCCCTGCCACTGCCTCCAGGGAGTTTGCCTTCCACTCTCCCCACCACAGAGTACCCCACATGTAGTCTAGCTGCTGGGGGCTAAGTTAGTCACACACACATTACTTGGAATTGGCCTCCGTTCTTCTCAAGTAGAGAAGCAAGGGCAGGTTCTGGGATGGTGGAAGTTGCACCTTTCCTGTCAGTCTGGGGCATGAAAGAAGTGGGTAACAGTGCAGTGCTCAACACCTGTTGCCCTTGCTCTAGGACAACCCTGAAGACACAAGCCCAAGAGGCTCAGGTTCTCTGAGCTTGAGGCCCCAGCCTTTCCCAAGGACTCAATTTCCCCCATGAACGTAGCAATAAGAACCCAGATGGCCTGACCCATCCCAGTGTAGCCTCTGGTTCTGTCCCCTTTGCTTTCAGTTTCTCTATCTGTAGGGTGGGAACATGACCACAGCCTGAGTGGATTATGCTGCATTACCATGGGCAAGACACCTGATCCCTCCTAGCCTCTGCCCCTCCCCTGGGAAATGGGTTTGATGGTGACAACTCACAGGGATATCTTGTTACCTGGGGGACTGGTGCTCTGAATGTCCTTCAGATGGTCCCTCCAAGATGGCCATGTGCAGGGAGGATCCAAATCCTGGCACTAGCCAGAGACAGGCCTCATTGGAAGGTGGGACCCCAGTCAAAGACAGGAATAGGAGTATGTTTAGTGCAGAATTGGGGCATATTGCCTAGTGTCGGGCGTGAGTGAGCTCCTGTCTGGGAGGAATGCAAGTTCTGATGACCATTGGCTGGGGTTTAGCTCTGTTACTGGTTTTGAGTCAGTTCTTGCTGGACTAGAGTGTGACTCTTAGTACCCACACAGTGCTTAGGGCCAAGTACCAATGCTCTAGGCCTAGTCCCACCCTCTGGGTTTATGTCCCCTGGAGAAGGTGTGTTGGGGCAGCTTGGGGGCAGGGCTGGTGGCTGCTGAGAAGATGTTCATGTACCTTACTCACCTGCACAGGGCCTATGAGGATGTGGCAGATGATGGCGGTGAGCTGATAGAGGAGCGGCCTCCGTTCCCGGCTGCAGCAGCACCCCTGGCCCAGCCAGAACAGGGCAGTTTGGGCAGCCTGGACCGGGTGGTGCGGCGCTCACCCTCGGTTGACAGTGCCCGCAAGGAGCCTCGCTGGCGGGACCCCGAGCTGCCTGAGGTACTGGCCATGCTACGGCACCCTGTGGACCCTGTGAAAGCCAATGCAGCTGCTTACCTGCAGCACCTGTGCTTCGAGAACGAGGGTGTCAAGCGGCGTGTGCGGCAGCTGCGGGGGCTGCCACTGCTCGTGGCTCTACTAGACCACCCAAGGGCGGAGGTTCGGCGCCGGGCCTGTGGGGCACTGCGCAACCTCTCCTATGGCCGAGACACTGACAACAAGGCCGCCATTCGGGACTGTGGTGGTGTGCCCGCCCTGGTGCGCCTACTGCGGGCCGCCCGGGACAATGAGGTCCGAGAGCTCGTCACAGGTGAGTGGCACCTAGCTGCCCTGCATCCCCTATCAGGAGGTGAGAGCGAGGCTTGGCCAAGGCACCCTGTTTAGTCAGGAGTCTCAGCTGTTGGTGGCATGCATGAGGCTCTGACACTATGAAAGGTCCCCAGTCTCTACCTCTGAACTTTGCTGCCACTGGTGGCCTTGGCACTAGGCCCCTCAGGCAGGCTTTCTCCACTGGGCCCCATGTCCCTGTGACAACAACTCTGAGTCCAGCCTCCCTGGTCCAACCCCCAATAAGTCAGTGGTGGGGACTGTGCCTTTTGGGACCTGAGTGGCCAGTCAGGGTTATGTGACTGCCTCTTAGTGTGGCCTCATGGCCCCAGGAGTGATAGTCCCCCCCACTTATGTGGCTGGAAAGAGGTGGAGATGAGAAGGTACCTGTTGGGTCCAGCCCCAGGCCCCTTGGAAGCCACTGCTTGGTGCTGTATGCCCAGGCCAGGGGAGGCACCCAGCACTTTTCACAGCTTTTGTCACTTCGTCCTTTCTGGTCTCAGTTGGGGCACAATGGAGGGTGGGGCGGGCAGGTCCTGAACAGGGTCACATGGGAGGTAGGGAGGCAGTGCCTGTGGTCAGCACTGGCTGGTCAATGGCGCCCCGCAGGCACACTCTGGAACTTGTCATCCTACGAGCCCCTGAAGATGGTCATCATTGACCATGGCCTGCAGACACTGACCCACGAGGTCATTGTGCCCCACTCGGGCTGGGAGCGAGAGCCCAATGAGGACTCCAAGCCACGGGATGCTGAGTGGACTACTGTCTTCAAGAACACTTCGGGCTGCTTGAGGTGGGGGCGGGGCTGGGCTTGGGCCCCCCCAAGCAGCCTCCCAGGGCTGTTCTTGGTCAAGAAGGCAGGAGCCAGGCACCAGAGCGTGCATGCAAATAGCTGTCCTGGAGATAGTCATATCCTTGTGTCCCAGATAAGGTAGAAGGCAACTAACCACCCTGGCCTTAGGGCTTCAGAGCCATGTCACAATTCCTCCCCAGAGTCCCGAGAATGGGGCCTGATGGGGTTGTACTCATCCCCAAGGGCTGCCTCTGGACAAGGTCTGCCACCTTGTTGTGCCAGTACCTCATGGCTCCAGCCCTGACCAGCTTCGACTCACTGTCCTATCACTGTGACAGCCAGGGGTGGGAGAACCAAGACCCTCATCTCTAGTCTGCTTCAGAGGCCTCATTCCACCTACTGTGACCTCTGCCCGCCCCCCACCCTAGGAGGCCCTGCAGAGACCCTACAGGTAGTCTTGGGTCCCCATGGTCCTGACTATTCATTAAGACACACCCCTGTGGCCCTTCAGAGTCCTGACCTCAGGAAAAGCAGAGCCCAGAGCTTCCACTGGGGCAAGAGGAGCCCAGAATTACCCGTGTACGGGTTCAGGACTCTGAACCTACCTCTGTCCCTTTCCAATTTATCTGGGAGTCAGTGAAGCACTCCTACCACCTCAGGAGATGCCAGGCTAGGCCTCCTTCCCCAGGGTCTCAGCCATCAGGCCACCCCTGCCCCACTGTCACTGCTCCAGGCTGGTGTCACCTGCCAATAGCCCCAGTAGGGCAGTGTCAGGGCCCATTTTGCAGATGAAGACAAGACCCCAGGGCCAGGTGGGGACTGGGGGAGTTCCCCTGGGAGCCAGGGGTCACAGGGCTTGCTCTTGGCCACCCAGGAACGTGAGCTCAGATGGCGCAGAGGCCCGGCGGCGACTCCGGGAGTGTGAAGGGCTGGTGGATGCACTCCTGCACGCCTTGCAGTCAGCAGTGGGCAGGAAGGACACAGACAACAAGGTGGGTGGGCAAGACAGGGCGGTCCCCGCAGGTCTCAGACAGGCTTAGTCTCATAACCTCCCACAAAGTGTTGGGGAGACAGACCAGATGGGGCCTAGGAGGCTTGAACTGTCTGGGCAGCACAGAGGGGAATAGGTGTGCACATCTAGGACAGTGTGGATTACCTTCTAGTGGCCGTATTATGAAGTGGGCCTGCCACAAAGCCACAGACAAGGCCCTCCATGCAGCAGGTATTTTACCCTTTTCCTCCCTCTGCCCATCCCTGAGGGTTCTTGCCTCTGTGGGCCCCCTAGCTCAGACTTCCATGTCTCTACACCCCTGGTCCCCTCAGTGCACACTTGCCTGTGGCCAGTCTTCTCTGAGAGGGTCAGCATTCCCCTCACCCACCTGGCCATGCCCCACCAGCTCTCCTCTCCCCACAGTCGGTGGAGAACTGCGTGTGCATCATGCGGAACCTGTCCTACCACGTGCACAAGGAGGTACCTGGGGCTGACAGGTACCAGGAGGCTGAGCCTGGGCCCCCAGGCAGTACTGCGGGCTCCCAGCGCCGGAGGCGGGATGACGCTGGCTGCTTTGGTGGCAAGAAGGCCAAAGGTGGGACTGGGGTACCACTTTAGAACCACTCCTCCCTGCTCCCCGGCTGAATGCTCTCCATACCCATGACAGTCATGTTCAGCTCCCAGTGGGCAATCAGGGAAGCAGGAGAGCATACCATCCTGGGGTACCCAGCTGACAGACCCAGCCTTTGCTCATCTGCACTGTGGGGCCCCCAGGGGATGATAGGAAGGCACATGATGGTACCCAACCATGCCTGGACCCAGTCCCTCGGCTCTAGGAAGGGTTCTGTGGGTCCAAGTTTAGAAACCACGGAAGATGATGCGACTTCCCGGTGTTGACAGACCACCTGAAGACTCTGAGACCCCTGAGGGCAGGACCCCACCTCACCTGCATACCACTCTCACCTGCAGGGTGCAGATTCCAACATTCCCCAGTAGCTGCTAGGTAGTCTGTGCACCACCTTCACCTGCCCACCCACGTGGGCCTTTTCTGATCCCTGTCGTACTTGTGGGCACTCAGCTTCCAAAAATAAATGGGGTGAGATTCCACGTCCCACCTGTTCAACCCAGGGTGCACAGTGGGAAGTTGAAGTCCCCTGGGAGGGTGTGGGGTTGCTGCCTGCTCAGGCTCGTCTCCTCTCTCTTGTGCTTCCTCCGGCTGCTCAGAGGAGTGGTTCCATCAAGGTGAGTCCCTGTTTGTCCTGACATTTAGGCCTGGTGCACACCAGGGAGGCAACCCCTCTTACCTCTCAGGTAGTCGTCTCCATGGCAATTGCAGGCCTCCCAGCCTCAGGGCCCTGCCCTATTGCTGTCCGGTTCCTTCCCTGAGCAGTCTTCTCTACGACAGTGACAGGAATATCATACCTTGGATGGGTTTGGACGCCAAGGGGCTATCCCCCCATAACCTCAGACTCTGTTCCTCAGGCAGTGCTGGGTCTGGAACTGGAGCTAGGGCAGAGCTGAGACAGGCAGGGCGTGTGGTTGTCAATCCTCAGGGGCACCAGGGAACAGAGTATGTCTCTCTAATGGAATGGGGTGATGTGTGACTCAAGACAAAGACCACACAAAGGCCCCAGGAGGCCAGGTAGGGCGGGGATCCACATCATCTGAACTCAGCTCCGCTGCCTTTCAAAGGGAGGAGAGACTCCCTCTGAGGTGGGGAGGGTGGCTGGGAAGTGGTGACATACTCGCAGAGGTGTGCAGGTTGAGATTGACAGGTGTTGGGTGGTGCTGCTGCAGGCTCTTGGCTTGTGAGTGAGGGGTCTCCTGGTCAACAGAGCCTGGAACAGGGTCCAGGTCCCAGGTAGGGGCAAGTTTTCCCATGGGTGGGGCACAGCCCGAGCCCTGCTTCATTGTGCAGCCAGGCGTGTCCTGTTAGCCCTCAGCATCCCCGTCTGTACCTACCTGTCACCCAGCCAAGCTCCTGGATCCCTTCGTTCACACTTCTGGCAGCTGCAAGGAGGCCCTTGGGCAGGTCTGCAATGCAGCTCCTAGCACCCAATGGAAGATAAGTTCTAGCTGCTCAGGGCAGGGCTGTGATGTCCCCAGGTTCCTTTGCCCCCACTGCTGTCCCCTGGACTAACTCAGAACATCTCTGTTCCCTTGGCCTCTTGGTGCTTAGGTTTGGACATGGAGGTGCTTTTTGAGTTCTGGGCAGGAAAGTGCTGTGTCCAACCCTCCTAACAAACAGCTGCCCACCACAGGGTCTGCCTCACCTCCACTGCTCTTCTGTTCCAGGGAAGAAAGATGGTGAGATGGACCGGAACTTTGACACGCTGGACCTGCCCAAGAGAACTGAGGCCGCTAAAGGTGAGTGGGTGGAGGCAGAGTCCAGGCTTAGGCCTATGCAGGAGGTGGAGTTCAGGCTCAGGCCTGTCCAGGTAGTGAAGCTTTGTGCCACCGAGCAGGCCCATAGGGCCTTGGGGGATATGACGGAGAAACTGAGGACCACAGGTTTGGAGTTCCCCAGAGGACCATCTTGTTCCTGGGTACTTGCTGAGGGTTTAGAATCAGGGTCAGTGCCACAGGTCACTTTAGGTAGAGTGGGGCGACAGGCCAGGCCCTTGCTAGTCACATGGCTTTGGAGTGAGGCCCTCAGTGAAGGGCAAAGGCTGGCCAGCAGGGCCTCCAGTGTCAGCTGAGGGGCTCAGGTTCAACTTTGAGAGATTTGGGAGCTGGGAGGATGCAGTCAGATTCACTACAGAGGCTAGGCCAGATCACCCTGACTCATGGAGGGATAGAGTGGTCTGTCCTTGTCCTGTGTCTGTTGGAGCCCTACTGTGTGCTGCTACTGTTCTGAATAATGGGAATCCAGCCTGAGTGAGAGAGGTCCCACCTGGTGAGCCCCAGGCCACAGCCCCCTCTGTGAGCTCAGATGCCCCCAAACAGGGTGGAAAGGACCAGCCACAGGAGGTTTGGGGGAGCATCACAGGCTGAGGAGCTAACCTGGGCCAACACCTGAGGGAGCAGTGTGTTTGGAGAACAGGAAGCCCAGCCAGTCTGAAGTGGAGGGAGCATGGGACATGAGGACTGGGGAGAGGTTGATGACATTTGGGGCAGGAGGATGGGACAGGGAGGTAATGTCCGAGAATAGAAGCCCCAGTGTGGGGACAGCAGCCTTGGAGGGCTGCTCTGTCTCTTATCTTAGAAACTCTGGTAGGGGAGCACTGCTGTCAGGCCTGGGCCTCATGGAGGCTGGGCCCTGTTGCTAGGGCCATGACCCTGGTAACACAGCCGCAGTTACACATGGGAGAGATTGGGCCTTGTTGTTAGGAAAGATGGGTCTTGTTGTTAGGCCCCACTCCCCAGTTGCAGGGGCTTCTGTTAGTTACCCAGGAGGTTGGGCCTTGTTGCTAGAGAATTTGAATGCTGTTACTAGGGGTGTGGCCATGTTTACAAGGCCCTAGTTAGTAGTCCGAAGGTCAGGTCTTGTTGCTAGGGGAGCTGCCCTGGTTGCTGCCTTTCTCCCCACCTCAGGCCTCTTGGATGCTCCAGTTGCCTGACAGTTCTAATCTCATTTCTTTGGCAGCAGAGTTAAGGGAAGAACAACTTCACCCAAACCCACTGCCTCCTCACTGAGCCTCTTTGTTTCTCTGTGAAGTGAAAATGCTTTTCCTCTTGGATGGTCGTAACATTGATGTTAAACGCCCCTTCACTACACCACACTCATCCCCTGGGCCCCAGCTCACCCTTGCCCTGGGAGGCGAGGGAGGGAGACGGGGTGATGGGAGGAGGTCTGGGTGACCGTGGGTGGCGGGTGCTCTGTGCCCAGGCTTTGAGTTGCTGTACCAGCCCGAGGTGGTGCGTCTCTACCTCTCCCTTCTTACGGAGAGCCGGAACTTCAACACCCTGGAGGCTGCAGCTGGTGCCCTACAGAACCTCAGTGCTGGCAATTGGATGGTGAGAGGCCAAGTCTGGCAGGGAGGGGACACAGAGAATCATCGGCGTCCCTTTCAGTGCCCGCCCCTGCACAGCGCCTCCCCAAGGTCTGGGAGGTTCATGGCTCAAAGGCTGCAAGCACTGTGCCCTGGGTGGTGGGGTGGGGAGGCTTCTTGTGGAGGTGGAGTTGAACTGCTGGGATCGGGCTTTGTCAGGACAGTGCAGCTGGAGGGAGTGGTCAGGACTCACATGGGAGAGTGGCATGTGTGGCGCGACTCTGCGTGCTGAGCACGCTCTCCACCTCCGCCGCTCTCCACCTCTGCTGCCGCCGCCACAGTGGGCCACGTACATTCGCGCCACGGTGCGCAAAGAGCGCGGTCTGCCGGTTCTGGTGGAGCTGCTGCAGTCGGAAACGGATAAAGTGGTGCGTGCTGTCGCCATCGCCCTGCGTAACCTCTCGCTGGACCGGCGCAACAAGGATCTCATCGGTGAGGACGCGGATAGGGCTTAGTCGAATGTAAACAGGCTGGGCTACCGTAGGGGACTGGGGGTCAGGAGGTTCAGAGTTCCGGCCCCGTCCCGGTGGCTCGGTCTCAGCTGCAGGAGCTCTGGTCTTCTAGCCCCCTGTGCATCCGGTCGTTGTTGGCTTCCTTTCTCTGAATCCCGCTCCTCCCTGCAGGGTCGGGCAGGGGCATGTCCTAACACCCGACCTTGCCTCTCAGGGAGCTATGCCATGACGGAGCTGGTGCGGAATGTGCGCAATGCGCAGGCTCCAGCACGACCCGGGGCCCGCTTGGAGGAGGACACGGTGGTGGCTGTGCTTAACACCATCCACGAGATCGTGTCCGACAGCCTGGACAACGCGCGCTCGCTACTGCAGGCTCGCGGCGTGCCAGCTTTAGTGGCCCTGTGTGCCTCCAGGTGGGTGGGAGCGGGGTCCGGGGGTGGGCCTGGGGCGGCTGGGGCGGGGCCGGACACTGACCCCACCCCGGCCCGGCCGCAGCCAATCGGTGCGCGAGGCGAAGGCCGCGTCCCACGTGCTGCAGACTGTGTGGAGCTACAGAGAGCTGCGTGGTGCCCTGCAGAAGGATGGCTGGACCAAGGCGCGCTTCCAGGTGCGGCCTGCGCAAGCTTTCCTCTCACTTTGCCAGAGTGGTTCACCTGCTGGAGCGCCCGTGACCCCCACCTTCTGTCTATTTTGTTCCCTCCTCCAGTCAGCTGCTGCTAATGCCAAAGGGCCCAAGGGAACACTGAGTCCCGGAGGCTTCGATGACAGCACGCTGCCGCTGGTGGACAAGAGCCTTGGTGAGTACGAGATAAGGTTGGGGGTGGGGCGGGCATAGGAATCCATCCTTGAGGTTCAAGAGTGGCTCCTCCACCTGGGTACATTGATGATGACAAGGCAGGTGAGGGGTGGAGGAGGGAGGCAGACCTTTTTACAGGAAAATGGCCCCAGGGTGGCTCCTTTCCCTGTTTGCAGTCACCTACATCCTCTCCATCCATGGTGACCACATTGATGCTAAGCTGGTGTGGGGGTACTAGTGGGCAGTGGCCCAGTAGAAGGGTGCAAAGATGTTAGTGACAGAGGGTACCCAGGGTCCCATGGATTTGTCCGCCCTAGTCCCCCAGCTGCTGTTTGCAGCAGCCAGCTGCTTGCTTGTGTCTTGCAGATGGTGAGAAGCTAGGCAGCCGGGACATGATCCCCATGGAGGCCCTTGGCCCAGGTGAGTACAGGTGCAGGACTGCTTGTTTCCTGTATGGGGAGAAAAGGAGTCTGAGATGGGCCAGGTGGTTTTGCTGATCATGTGTGTCTGTGTGTGCGTGTGCGCGCGCACGCACGCTCATGTGTGTCTGGTGCTGGGAAGGCCTTCTCAAGAGGTGCTGGTTGGAAAAGAGATTTGGTTTAGGGGTGCTCAGGAAATGAGGAGCAGGGCAGCCAGGGAAGGTCAGTGCCCAGCTACAGTCTCTGGTCTGCTAGTTAAGGGGATGCTGGAAGGTTGGGAGCTGCCCAGGGGTAGCAAGTGAGTGGCTGCAGGTCTCGAGCCACAAGAGGCAAGGTTGTGGTAAGAGCTGGGGGGAAGGGCTATGAGAAGACCTGTCCCCGTCTTCCAGGGTAGTACTGGGGAAGGGCAGGTGCGGGGGGTGGTCCTCTTCAGATGCACCCTGTCCCAAAAGCCCCTTGTCCGGGCTGAGAGAGAGATCTACTCCTGTGGTGCCTGCCCCTCAGAGTTCCCCTCGTGCCACCACCCCGCAGACGGATACTCCACAGTGGACCGAAGGGAGAAGAGGGCTCGAGGCAGTGCCTCCGCAGGGGAGACCTCAGAGAAGGAACCGTTGAAAGTGAGTAGCTGTGGGCAGGTATCCAGGGAGGTAGCATGTCTTGGGGTTTCCTATAGAGGGGCCCAGGGAAGTTGCTGAGTTTGGTCTGGTGGGAGACCAAGCCTGAGCATTGGCCCCTTCCACTTGGGAACCTCACATCAAATCAGTCTGTGAGTACAGCTGGTTTGAAGCTTACACCAACTGGGAGGGAGGGGGCAAGTGACAGGGGACACAGCCTAGCAGAGTACACAGGTCTGGAGAAGTCTGAACAAGTGTGTCTGTATCCTTCCCTGCGTGTGAGTGTAGCCAAGGGCCTACCATGGTCCTACCTCCGGGCAGCACCTGCCGCCTACTCTGCACCAGTCCTCTGGCTTTGGGCACAGCCCACTCTAGATCTGTGTGACCCATACTAGCTCAGCTCCCCTCTACCCCAGCACTCCCCCCCTGAGCACCAACATCAGCCCTGCTTCACCCACCAGACCAGCCTCCACTGTCAGCTCTGACTAATCTGCTGTGTTCTGCCTCTAATGCCCTCCTGCCTTCCTGCCCACTGCCTGTCCGCTACAGCCCGACCCCAGCAGGAAAGCTCCTCCTCCTGGGCCCAGTAGGCCCGCAGTCAGGCTGGTTGACGCCGTGGGGGACACTAAGCCTCAGCCCGTTGACTCCTGGGTCTAGCTTGCATGCCTGGTACGTTCTCTCTTCTGGTTGTTTTTCTGTCTCCTATCCTCTGGGCAGGGGCTTCTCGTTAATCTCTGGTAGCTGCATGCTCTGCTTTCCGTGAGTGCTCCCTGGGAGGACCCCTGCCTCGAGCCCAGCCAGCCCACATGCCCATCTTAGGAAGGACAAGTTAAGGTGTGAAAGGGAAGGGCCTCCCTGGGCCTGCAACCTGGGTCTAAGCACTGTGCTATCAGGGCTTGGATGAGATGGGATAAGAGCAGTGACAGTCCCCCCACCCCGCTTCAAATACCCCAAGCACATGGCCCCAGAGTTCCAGCAAGTTGGAATTGGCCCTGGTGCTGAGACCCTCAGGGTTGGCCCACGCCACCCACAGCAGCTGCCTTCGTACAGGCCTCCATGTATCTAGCTTATGGAGGCAGCCCCCAGCCCCTAGGCACGCTGCTCAGCCTTCCCTTCTCCCTTCTCAGGGCCCGGGCCTAGCCTTTCGTTCTTAGGGATTTGGTCACAGGAAGAAGGGAACTCCAGGGCCGGCCTGCACAGACCCTGCTGTGGAGCTTGGAGCCCCCTGGCGGCAGAGGTTGACAGTGCCTCTGCATCGGACCCAAGGCGGGACTTTCTGGACACACCTTCCTTCCTGAGCCCTGGATCCCTCCCTCCTAATTCCCTAGGCAGTTAGCTGTTTACTGACTTGGTGCTGTGTGTGAGAGAGAGAGGCCAGTGGGGCTATGGGATAGGGCCCAGGGAGGCAGCAGGAGAGGAGGCCTAACCACTTTGGGGCTGGAGAAATAGGAGAGTATGGCCCTTTGTGTGCAGTGCCCCAGAGGAGCAGGGCAGCCCAGTCCTGGGGGCAACCATCTGAGCAGGGAAGGGGGCTCAAGAGTTTGACTCTGAAGGGTGGAGGGGATCCCCTGGGCTCCCCAACCCACTCCATGGCAAGCCAACCATGGGCGGGGGCTGCTCCGGTGGGGCTGGCCCACGCAAAGCAGGTCGAAGGCAGCAAGATGAGGGGCAGACTGTGCTTACCCCCATCCTGCCCTTGGACGCGTGGAATCCCAGTGCATCTCAGGAGCCTTCCTGAGTGATACTGGCTGGCCCTGGCGCAGCTTCCACATCTTGTCTGCTAGAGCCCTGAGTAACGTCGTGGGGACTGATGCCTCGGGGACTGACCCTCAGCAGCAGCGGGGGATTGCTGTTCAGTGCCTGCTGTTTGTGACTTAAAAACAGAAAACTGACAAAAAGCATTAAAAAAAAACCAAAATAAGACTGTATTGGTAAACACGTAAATTTTTCTAAGGAAATTTAAAAATTAAAAAAAAAAGCAACAAAGAAACTACTTCTCTTCTATGGCTCAGACCTCTCAACAGAAACTGCTCACTCCTCCCTGTGTGCCAGGTGGGGGAATCGAGGAAGGTGGCCCCAGGTGTCTGCTCTGTCCAGCAGTGGCTTGGTTTCCAGGCCCCATGGGGGA